AAATAAATAAATAAATAAATAAATAAATAAAATCTTTAAAAAAAAAAATAATTCTTGACTCAATTAGATAACACACCATACAAAACTTCCTCAATAAAATCACTATAAACAAACACTGGGTTTGCTTTTCTTGGCACATTTCTTACTAGACTGTAAGCTCTATGAGAATAAAAACTGTATCTTACTCATAGCCTCTACACCTAGCACAGTTCCTAGAACCAAGATGACATGCAATAAATGATAGGTTGTTGGTTAGATGAATTCTAAAATTAATTCCTGTATCACTTACCTTTTACTGGTACAGTTGTAAGATCACCTAAGACCCTGTAATCTCCCCGCAATATTTCTGAAACAAACTTTTGAGTGCGCTTCTACTAAGCTATTATCTAGTCTCTCAAAAATTACTTCATATATTATCTTTATAAATATTTTCAAAATACCATATAATCTAACCAATGGTAACTTTCCCAATCAGCCTCAACCGACTGAAGTCAGAGAACCTAGGAGTCAACCCTGGTGTCCTCTTGCTCCTTCAAACATATCAACTCTATCACCAAGTTCTGCTGATTCCATCTCTAGAATATATTCTGAATCTGTCCACTTCTCTCCCATTTCCACTGCCGCCTCTAGTCTAAGTGGCTTCTTTTGTTTGAATCATTTAAAAAACCTCTAAGTAGGGTTTCTGTATTCCACTCTTGCCTAATTCTAATCCATTCTTCATATAGTGGCCAGGAAAAGAAAAATTTAATGCAAATCGGGCTTTGCTATTTCTTTGCTAAAAATCATTCATTGGTTTCCTACTACAATAAAAAGCCAAATCCTAATTTATGTCCTCAGCCTACCTCTCTAGCTTCATCTTGTGTGACTCTTTTATTCATTGTATTAAAGTTATACTGGTCTCCTTACAGTTCTTCAAATTTACGAAGTTTGTATATGTCTCAAAATATTTACACAGGCAGTCCCCTTATGTCTGAAACATTCTTCTCTCTAGCACTTTGACCTGCTGAACTTCTACTTATCTTTTAGGTCTCTGTGTAAATTATTACTTCCTTAAGAGAGGAATCCCAACCTCCAGCAATCCAGATCAGGAAGCCCCTGTTATAATCTCTTGATGAATTCTTATTTTCTTCCTATTACCTATCAGTTTGTAATTAAAGATTTATTTATACAACTGTTTATATATGACTGTTTATTGTTTTATTGTCTCGCTCATAAAACTGAAAGCATCACGAAAGTAAAGTCTATGTCTTTTTGTTCACCCTACAGCTCTCACACCATGCCAGGCACATGAATACTAATGAAAGAACCTCATGGAGAAATACCACCATCATAAGAATTTTAAGTTCACTGCCAATGAAAATAAGCACAAGTTAGAATTCAAAAGTCTAGCTGTTTATATTCTCACTGCCAGATATACACAGGGACAACCACAAGTTTAATAAAATGCTGGAAAACACACAGTTAACTAGATTACTGTTGATACAAATTTATATTGTCTCCACTGGGCCTCAGCAAGGCTCAGTATCCCTTTTAACTCTTTCTAGTCTATCTTTCTCTTCTCACGCTATTATTCTAACTCCTGCCAATCAGACATCTAGACTAAAGAAAGAGCAATCCAGACAGAGGGAGCAGTAAGTACAAAGGCTCCAAGACAGGAGGGTGCCCGGTGTGTCTGAGAAAGAGGAGTCCTGTGGCTGAAGACAAGTGAACAAGGGCCAGAACAAGGGGAGTAGCCAAAGAAAAAGGCAGCCGCGAAATGCTACAGTCTTAATAATAAGGATAAAGACTTTGGTTGTTAAAAATTCTAAGCAAGTGCTTGCTTCAGCAGTGCATATACTAAAAATTCTAAACAAGACTGAAAGACATTAAAGGTTTTCTGTGCAGAGTAGTGGTATGATCCAACTTAAGTTTGAAAATATTTACTCTGGCCCCTGTATAAAGAATACAGACTAGAGACTTGGGTGAGGGACAAAAGTAGAAGCAAGGAGATCAGGGATATTACAACAGCCCAATCAGATAATGGTGGCTTAGACTAAGATAGTAAAGATAGAAATAATAAGTAGTAGTAGTCATATTCTGGATATATTTTGAAGGTGGAACCATTAGAAATTGCTGATGGATTAAATACAGAGTACAAAATAGAAAGAGAGAGAGAAAATCAAGATATCTCTTTACACCTGAGCAAGTAAAAGGACAAAACTGCCATTTATTCCCACTCTCCATTAAAAGAAACCAAGATGCCTTAGAGAAATAGCTGTATCTACAGCTAGAACAGTAAGAGCCAAGAACACTATCACTGTGGTCAGAAGGAAGGATGATGATATACACAAATATTGAATCATTAGATTGCACACCTGAAACTAACAGAATGTTATATGTCAATTATACCCAACTTTTAAAAAGAGCTGAATAAATTGGACAAAGTTAAAAAAAAAAAAAAAAAGAAGATGGGGAGACATGTCAAAAGGACACAGCAGCTGGCTTGAAGAGTCTCTCCTGCCCAAATCTGGAACAATGTCAGCATCAAAATAAATATCAACAGCAATAAATCATAATTCATAAAATAAAAATCTTCAAGTCTAAAGGGAATGAATAAAATAAATGGGAAGAAAAAAGGCTCTTCCTTACAGAAGAATACCAATTAATAAACTTTATGAAAGAAATTATGGAATTAGAAAATCATCTGTTTAGCAACCAACAGAGTAATAGTTTCAGGCAAGAACCACCACTGGGTGTTAAATCCAGCAGGTAGAAGTTTGATGAGAAACAGGGTATTACATGGTTTCAAAATGTATTGCCAGAAAATACTTACAGAAGGAAAATAATTTTACAGAGAAGAAATTCCACCTTAACAAAGGGTTCAGAGTTACCATCACCGTGTAACAGGACACACAAATACTACATACCTCCCAACATCATGCGCAGAGGACACATCACCTCTACAGTATTTCTGCCAGAAGTGGATCACCTGACTCTAATCATGGTGGAACATAAAACAAGCTCAAAGCGATGGACAGTCTCTGAAATAAATGACCTGACTTCAAAAATGTCAAAATCATGGAAGATAAAGACTGAAGAACTGTTCCAGACTAAAGGAAACCAAGGAGACATGACAATTAAAACACATGATCCTAGACTGGATAACGACCCAGGGAAAGTTGTTTTTTCCTTTTGCCATAAAAGAACATTACTGGTACAACTGACAAAATTTGAATAAAATCTTCAGATTGGATAATACAACTTATCTGTGTTAATTCCCCATTTCAAACTATGATCATGTGCAAGAACACCCTTATTTTTAGGAAATATGCACAAATGAGTAGGAGTAAGAGGGCATTACCATTATGTCTGCAACTTAGAAAAAAAAAGTTCCTCAAAAAAGAACTACCTCCTCCTTTGAATTCCCACTGAACTCCATGTAAATTTCTACTGTAGCATCTATAATACCATTTTTCTCATTGGTAGGAAAAGAAATGTACCTTCCAAGGTTAACAACCTGCCCAAAGTAGAAGTCAGTAAATGACAAACCACAAATTGAACCAAGATCTAGGTGACTCAAAGCCAATACTTTGTTAAATCATAAGATGGTAGAATGCTCAGCAAATGTTTGCTATTTATACTGTTTTTATTTTTCAGAAATACTCGCATAGTGACTGACAAAGACAATCTGTTCACAAATAGGTTTCTTAATCCAAAGAGTGTCACCTATACAACAGGAATCCCCAGCATCAGCCTTATAAACTCTAACTTTCAAGACAAGCTAGAACTCAACTTGGCTAACATAATGAGTTGGTGGCAAAGAAAAAAAAGACACAGGATAAATGAACATGATCTAGAAGAGCCTTTACGCTCTAGCCCTTGTACTTTTCCAATCTCATCTCTTATTATTTCTACCTAATGTTCTTTATCCTATGTGAAAATTTATTTATTCCCACAATTAAGCATGTTTTCCCCCATTTTCAAGTCTTCGTGCTTCTTTTCCTTCTGATTATATGGGACCCTATTCCTTGTCATCCTGATAAACTAGTACAAATTCTTTAAGACCAGCTCATATGGTATTTTCCCTCAATGCCCAGCACAGGTAGATGCTTGTTCTTTATTCTCCCAAAACACCATGTACCCTACACTTAAACCTTCCACATGAATGAAATCATTTACTTACAAGTCTCTCCTAGACTATGCTTGAGAAAAGGAATCCTATCATTCACTTCGGCATCTTTAGCAGCTGAAGGTTCTCTGTCTATACATTCATATCTTGCTACATGTCCCAAAGGACTAAGGCAAAAGCATTTAATAAATATTTCTAGCAGTAATGAATATGGGTGTTTTATCACTTGAAAAAAGTGTGGTTTTTGTTTTTTGGTTGGTCAAATCCCAAACTCCTTTTCATACATAAGGCAGAAAATAAATAAACCAAACTCATTTCATACGGTAGTCAAGGGGCACCTGGGTGACTCAGTCAGTTAAGCATCTGCCTTCAGCTCAGTTCATGATCCTGGGGTCCTGGGAGCAAGCCCCACATTGTGCTCCCTGCTCAGGGGGTCTTCTGCTTCCCCATCTCCCTCTGCCCCTCCCCCCGGCTTGCGTTCATGCGTGCGTGCTCTTTCTCTCTCTCTCAAATAAAGAAATAAAATCTTTATTTAAAAAAAAAAATGCTGATAGCCAAAGGAAACCTGTTTATCTGCAAAACCAAAGCAGTCATAATGGGTTTAAAAGGAATATGTTAACAAGCAGAACTATGTACACAGAAAAACGACATCTATTTGCAGATCAGACAGATAAATGAATTGCTGTTACTGCTTTACCCCAGGATAAATTAATCCTGTTTCTTGTCCAGGACCATATTATTTGTCCAATCTGAATATCCAACTTTACCTGCAGTGCTTGTTCTTGGATATCACGAAATAATTCCATATCTTTCTCAGTCATGATTTCCTGGCTCCCAAAAAGCCGTTCCTCACTTTCTTGTTTGCCATCCCAGCCATCCTGATTGTCTGCACATAAAAAAAAGAGCTCACATGTTATCAGTATTATCCTTAGTTTAATAAATGGACTAGAAAAAATTTCATAAGCCTTTCAGTTTGAAGACCTTGATATTATTTTTATAAGAAGACAGCAATAAAATGACAACTGGAAAGATGGGTCAGTAAATAATATGTACATATTATATCTGCTTATAATGAAAACCTGACCTGTCCTAAAACTTCTTAAAATTATTACATAACTAAATTTTAACTTCATTAACACATTATATTTTAGCATAGAATACATACATTTATATAATATATACATATAATATATATGAATATATAATATATACAATTATAAAATATATGTAAAAGTTTGATGAGCATCAGGTGATGTGAAGTGCTAAAACCATACACCTGAACAAATATTACACAATATTATACTATGTATGTTAACTGTAATTTAAATAAAAACTTAAAAGAATAATTACACAAAAGCAGAACAGGAAAAAGGTCTAAGGAATATGAAACTATGAAGTAATATGAATATAAAATTTTTAGTATGAATTTAATCTATCAACATTCAAATATTGCTTTTTCCTTCTTTGGTAGTATGGAAGAAGTGTATGTTACAGCAGGACATGATTTTCATCACATGGTACCAAAACATGGAAAACTGGTTCCTTTTATAAATCTTAATGGTCTTATGATCTTCATAAGGCCAGTCAGTACATTCTTATCTCAGCAAAAAGATAACCTTCAAAATAGCTACCATACTGCCCTCATATTCTCGGTGCCCTTTTAAATAAGCAAAACTCCACAAATCTGAGGATCACAGATGATAATCCTCTGGGTAAGTATGAGAAATTATAATAATCATTCAGTAAATGATGTATCTTCCTCACATGGGGAAGGAAATTCATGAAAGGAGTATTAGGGGATTATGTAGATCATTATCTTCTGCACTTGAAGATGACACCGCTGATGGACTAATTTCCTATTTGTATAAGCACGGCAGAAAAGATCAATTCATGACAGTTCCTTTGAAATTAAATAGACATATAGGCTGTGTGTTATTCACTTAGTGTAAGAAGAATAAGGACAAGGACTCACTGCTGAAACTACTCCTAAATTGAAAAATATGGATCTGAAGATACTACGTGACTTTAATGCCCCCTAGTGCATGACACAGATGGATGCAGGCACAGATTAGTAGAGCATTGAAGAGCATTCTATCAGATGGTCCAGACTGTTCCTTAAACTCTACAATTCATAAAGAAATTTACAAAGCCAATTACAGCAAAAACTCACACAGATGCAAAAAGTCAATATTGATCCTCCATATACTTTACCCATATTCTCTAATAGCTTCTAGTTCTAAAACTTTCCAGGATATTCTCGTAATAATCCATCTCCAGTGAAACAGTTAATTCAAAAATGCCTTTCACTAGGATCTGCTTTCGATTCTTTCCTTGTTAAGTCCGACCTAAATGGCTTGCATATTTTCTTAGATAAATGTACTCAGACTGGAGCTACAGTGTACATGACTGACAAAGTCATGAAAAGTACTTAAGTGCTTACACAGTAATTAGTTGATTGCCACTCTGGTGAAAAGCCAATAAATACAGCATAAAAAGGGGGACCTGACAATGATGAGAATTTCCTCTCCTGTGCTGGACCAATCAACCTGCTTATTCCTATATAAGCAGGAATAAAGAAGCAGTGAATACAATCACTGATAAGACAATCAGGGGAAGGAAATCAACATTAAGAAATTCTCTTGCAGTATATGAGATACTATATCTTTGACCTTTGTGATCCAAAGAAGTCCATTCTCATTCTTCTACTTTCCTCAGACACTTTTCTACTTCCTTCACAGGGTTAAGTCTGTAAACTCAAGGCACTAAAGAGCAATGAGACTAGTTTAAATTTTAATTATCAAAACAGTTAATGAAAATTTCTCTCCTCTGACTTGAATTACCTGCTACACTATTAAGTCTTCTCTACAGATCTTCTACTTTGAAAACTAGGGAACTAGCCTGAAACGTAAGTATGAAATGAATAAAAAGAGGGATGTTACACCTGGTAACACAGAAATACAAAAATCACAGAGGACTACTAGTATGAACAATTATACCCCAAAAAACTGGACATCTAGAAGAAATGGATAAATTCCTACAAACATACAACTTACCAAGACTGAATCACGATGAAATAGAAAATATGAACAGACCAATTACTATTAAGGAGATTGAATCAATGATCAAAAACTTCCCAACAAACAAAAGTTCGCTGGTGAATTCCACCAAATATTCAAAAAACACTTAGTACCAATCCTTCTCAAACTCTTTCAAAAAACAGAAGGCGGAACTCTTTCAAGCTCATTTTATGAGGCCAGCATTACCCAAGCCAGTCAAAGATAAAAAAAAGAAAATTACAGGTCAATACCCCCAATGAACACAGATGCAAAAATCCTCAACAAAGTATTAGCAAACCGATTTCAGCAATACAATAAAAGGGTCATATACCATGATCAAACAGGATTTATTCCAGAGATTCAAGGATGGTTCAATATCCACAAATCAGCTGATATACCACAATAACAAAATGAAAGATAAAAATCAGCTAGATGATCATTTCAAGATATGCAGAAAAGGCATTTGACAAAATTCAACAACCATTTATGATTAAAAACTCTCAACAAGCCAGGTATAGAGAGAACGTACCTCAACATAATAAAGGTCATATGACTAGCCCACAGCTAACATTATACTCAATGGTGAAAAGCTGAGAGCTAGTTTTCTCTAAGATCAGGAATAAAACAAGGCTACCTATTCTCACTACTTTTATTCAACATAAGACTGAAAGTTCTAGCTAGAGCAATTAGGCAAGGAAAAAAATAAAAGATATCCAAGTTGGAAAAGAAGAAGTGAAACTGTCATCCCTATTTGCAGATGACATAATATATAGAGAAAACCCTAAAGACTCCACCAAAAAACTTAGAATAAATGAATTCAGTAAGCTTGAAAGATACAAAATCAAAACACAAAAATCTGAACTGTTTCTATACACTAATAATGAACTACCAGCTACCAGAAAAGAAATTAAGAAAACAATCCCATTTATAACTGCATCAAAATGAGTAAAATATCTAGGAATAAATTTAACCAAGCAGGTGAAACACCTGTATGTACATTGAAGACAAAACACTGTGTGTGTGTGTGTGTGTGTGTGTGTGTGTGTACACACACACATACATGACATTAATGAAAGAAATTAAAGACACAAATAAATGGAGAGATGTTGCATGCTCATGGGTTGGAAGAATATTATTAAAATGTCCACAGTACCTAAAGCTATCTACAGATTCAATGCAATCCGCATCAAAATTCTAATGGCATTTTTCACAAAAATGGAAAAAAAAAATCCTAAAAATGTGTATGCAACCAAAGAACCCAAATGGCCAAAGCAATCTTGAGAAAAAAGGACAAAACACTAAAGCTCCCTGATTTCAAACTATATTACAAATCTATAGTTATTAAAACAGTATGGTATTGGCATAAAAACAGACACAGAGGGGCGCCTGGGTGGCTCAGCTGGTTAAGTGACTGCCTTCCAGGTCATGATCCTGGAGTCCTGGGATCAAGCCCCACATCGGACTCCCTGCTTGGCAGGGAGTTGCTTCTCCCGCTGACCTTTCTCCTCTCATGCTTTCTCTTTCTCTCTCAAATAAATAAATAAAATCTTTAAAAAAGAAAAAAAAAAGACACAGAAATCAATTCAATAGAATCGAACGCCTGTGAATAAACCCATGCATATATATAGTCAATTAATTACAACAAAAGAGCCAAGAACATACAATGGGGAAAAGATTGCCTTTTCAATAAATAGTGTGGGAAAACTGGACAACCACATGTGAAAGAATGAAAACTACACAACTCTCTTACACCAAGTTACTCAAAATAGATTAAAGACCTGAATTTAAAACCTGAAACTGTAAAACTCCTAAAAGAAAACATAGGTGGTAATCTCCTTAACATAATTTTTAACAATCATTTTTAAAATCTGGTACCAAAACCAAAAGCAACAAAAGCAAAACCAAACAAGGGGGACTACATCAAACTAAAAAGCTTCTGCACAGCAAAGGAAACCAACAGCAAAATAAAAAGGCAACCTACTGAATGTAAGAAGATATTCACAAATCATATATCCAATAAGGGGTCAACATCCAAAATATACAAAGAACTCATTCAACTCAATAGCAAAAAAGCAAACAACCCATGGAATGCCCAGGTGGCTCAGTTGGTTAAGTCTCTCTTGATTTCAGCTCACGTGGAGACCTCAGGGTTGTGAGATCCAGCCCTGTGGTGGGCTCTGTGCTGGGCATGGGCTTGCTTAAGAATCTCTCTCTCCCTCTGCTTCCCCACTCCCATGCAAGTTCTCTCACTTTCCTCCCAGCCCCATTAAAAAAACAAAACAAAACAAAACAAAAACCTACAAAAACAATCCACTTCAAAATGGGCAGAAGATCTGAACAGACATCTTCCCAACAAAGGCATAAAAATGGACCACAGCTACGTGAAAGATGCTCTACATCATTACTCAACAGTGAAATCCAAATCAAAAACATAAGGAGAGATCACCTCACAACCGTCAGGATGGCTATTATCAAAAAGACTAGAACTTACAAATGTTGGTGAGAATGTGGAGAAAAGGGAACCTCTGTACACTGTTGGTGGGAATGTATATTGGTGCAGCCAGTATGGAAAACAGTACAGAGGTTCCTCAAAAAATTAAAAATAGAACTGCCATACAATCCAGCAATTCCACTTCTGGGTATGTACCCAAAGAAAACAAAAACATTGTCAAGATATGGAAATAACCTAATGCATCAAGGGATTAAAGAAACTGTGGTGTAGGTGTATGATATTATTCAGCATAAATAACATACATACATACATACATACATACACAAACACCAAACTCATAGATACAGAGAACAGACTGGTGGTTTGCCAGAAGAAAGCTGGGAGATAGAGGATAAGAGAAATGGGTGAATTATTTTTCTTTTTGTTTTTTTAGTTTCAATAAACAGTATTTTAAATAAATAAATGAAAACTAGGAAGGTTAGCCTGATACATAAGTAAATGGTCTGAAGTTATAGTTCTCTTCCTCTCTTTTAAAGTATAATTCATGAAATATTACAACTATATTTGCCATGATTTGAAGTAGAAAAATCAATGATCTCATCATACTCATATATATTTTTGTCTCTTCTCTATGCTTACTTAGGTCAATAGCATTTTATCTACCCACACACTTTCCAATTTCCTTCTGGAAATAAAGCAAGCATCATGATGCTCATCACATGATTTGTTTTGTAACTTATGAAATGTAAAGATACCCTTGATTTAAGGTCATACCTAAAATTTCCATAGGAAGATTCCTTGTGGTTCTACCAAAACAAAAACCCAAAAAACAAACAAACAACCCACAAACGAAAAAACACCGTCTTTTGACTAAGAGCCCCTACTTGCCCATTCTTGCAATTTCATCTCCAGCCTCTCAATCCCTGCCATAGTCACCACCTTACTTTAATCTAAATAGTACTTTTAATTTATTCTTCTAATCCATACCATAGATAATAATCAAATATAAATCTATTCTAGATAATTAGTGTTATTCCAAATAATACACTTTGGGAATACGTTCTGCTTCTAAGTGAACTTTTACCTGTGGGCCAATCTGAAGTGCTCGATTTTCTGTTGCCCTTTTTCCTGATTCTATATTGCTCAGAGTAGTCTACCACTTCCCCTCGAGGTTTCCGCCCATCGGGAGAAGGGGTGAAAAATTTGGTAAGGCCATCAATGAGCCCTTTGGTTTTCTTGTTGAACTTCAAGGGAACACTGCTATCTCTGCAGAAGTCCAAGCCATCTATTCGCTCTAAATATCCTTCTTCTGATGACGATGCTGATTGGCTGGAAAGGGTGATTTTACGTTTCCGGCCCCTTCCTGGACCAGTCCGAACTTTGCTGAAAGGACCTTTTGATCTTTAAAAAAAAAAAAAGAAAAAAAGAAAGAAAGAAAGAAAGGAAAAAGAAATCAAACAGGGAAAAGGGTAAATATTAAAAAGGAAAACTTCATAAGGTTTCTATTTAATATATAACATGTAATTTGTAAATAGTTACAGCTTTATTTAAAAAAACTATATTGTCAAGAATATTCCATAAACCATAAGTATTAGAGGAATGAGAAGTAATATCGTTATTAGAAATAGATTTCTGGAAAGTCCAGTATTTTACAGCAAAAAGAATCCTAAGGTTGGGAGTCAGAAGGCATGTTTAAGTCATAACTCTTGCCACTTTTAGCTGTACATCTTAGAAAAATCACATTCTGTCTAAACACCAGTGTCTTCATCTATAAAATGAGAGTTGGACCAGAGAACAATTAAGACCCTTCCAGATATAAAGTCCTATGATCTCTGTAACAACTCAGAGTTATACTTTTACCTCTAAACACAAGGATGGGTTACTCTCTGAAACTCAGGAATCAAAAGATCATCTCATAGGAAAATTAAAGCCTGATTTAAGATTTAAAATATGAACTACAATACTGGTACTGTATATTTCAAGCTGCTAGTGCTCATTCCTTTCAGTTATTATCTTCAAGACGGTCTAAAGTATAGAAAAGGTGGGTAAAAATAAGAATACAGATTTACAGGCTTAAAGATATCTTACAAATCATCAAAAGGGAATTACCATAGACACTCAAAAAAAAAAGTTAGCTACTGAATCTTGCCCCACATCCTCCAGACATAGCCCAGTTTCCTAGTTTCCTAGTTTTCCAGATGAAAAACACATTATTTTATTTTAGATCAGGACATAGAAAGGGGACTTGGCTATGACCACAACAGCAAAAGTTATCCAGTGATTTGTACATACAATATAAACTACTGAGACCACATCAAGAGAGAAATCTATGAAATGCTATAATAATTTTTTCTTTCTTGTTTACATAAGAGCAGCAGTATAAGGCAGTATTTAAGAGTTAGACATTGGTGCCAAACTACTTGTGGGTTTTAATCCCAGTGCAACACTTACTATAAACTGTGCAAGTTAATCTTTCTATATAGTAATTTTTTCCTTTGAAAAATAAGAGTAACAACAATACTACTTCATTTGGTTGTTGGGAAAATTAAATGAGTAACACACTGTAAGGCACTTGGGACTTTATTCTAACTTGGCACTTTACTGCACAGTTCAGCCATTATTATTACTTTATAAAAGTGCCAGTTTTAACAACCGGAATTTTTTTCACAAAGCAAACAAGTGACTCCTACACTAGAGAGAAGACCCTATCCTTTTCTCCCCTCACCTTGCCACAAGTACAACTTACACCGTGTTTTGTTTCTTTAACCTGTTTTTCGGACGTCCTATTGGGTTAGCATAGCGCCGTTTTATCTGTGCTGCCTTCTTCTGTAGAAGTTTCCGTCCTTTTTTCCTAGGTCGACATATCTGACATATCCACATGCCTATAAAAAAAAAATATTCCACATAAAGCACGATAGACATAGATACACAGAAAGAGCTGAGATACTCTACGAGTTCACAATTTCTCTTAGGTCAAGGACTCCTATTTAAAAATCTGATGGAAGCCCCTTAGAAAAATAAACATGAAAACATATATACACAAAATTCTACAAACAAATGGAAAAGACTCACAAGTATCCTGAAGCCCACATATGGTTGAAGTTCACTGATCCTCCGTTAAAAAGCCCTGTTCTACCCCTGGCACTCAGATATTAGTTTCCAATTACTATTCTGTAAGAAAAGAAGCCAGGTTTCCATGGAGTAATAACTGATCCCAGGACTGGACCAAGGAAAATACTTGATAACCTGGAGCATCTTACATTCCCAGCAAATGGAGAAGTGCTCAAAAGATGAAGAAGGCATGTCATAAGGACCCAGCAGCCAACCTGAAAGAGCTCCCAATAGCCAAATCTGGGTCATTCTGAGCCAGAAAAGAAATAATCACATCTATGGATTATAACCCATTGAATAAAATAAAATATCCATGAGTCCATGAATAATACAATTGACAAATAAATAAATAAATGGGAAAAGCAATCTCTTCCTTATAGCAGAATTCCAATTAATAAATGTAGAAGGGATGATGGAAGCAAAAAAACCATCATCATGTAAACACCAAAGTAAAATCAGTGCAAACAAGAATCACTGACGGATGCTAAAGTTAGTACAATGAGGGAAAAGAATAACTTAAAGGTCAGGTTTCTACTGTAATCAAGTGATCACAGTTAACATTACCAGTAATAAGACATACTCATACTATACACCACACTACAATGCACTAAGAAGGGTACAATATCACTTCTGCGGTGTTCTTATCAAACTTCAGAATCTTAGTTTAATCATGATAAAAAAACAGACAAACCCAAATTTAAGGACTTTCTACAAAATAGCTGACCAGCTGCTTCAAAAGTGTCAAGGTCAGGAAAGACAATTTACAGAAGTAATTCAGACTGGAAGAGACTAAGGAAATATGACAATTAAATGCAATGTGAAATCCAGGACTGGATTCTGGACCGCAAATTCAAATTAGGTCTACAGATTAGTTAATTGTATCATATCAATGTTAGTTTCCTGGTTTCGGTAATTGTACTATGGTTTTATAAAATGTTAACATTGGAAGAAGCTGGTGATGGCTGCAATATTTTTGCTACTTTTCAGTTAAGTCTGCAATTACTTCATTGTATTCCTGTTTTCCTGTTTTAAGCTACAATGAAACTTCTTTTGTAGGCACTATACACAGGAATGAAGTCCTAAGAAAATCTTTATCTTAAAGGATTCTCAGAAGGCCTTTTGACCAGACTTCAAATAAATGGAAGAGGTAGGAAAGGGGGAATTTATTCTTTTAGTACATATAAATCTAAGACTTTTCAAAAGGTAACAACCAACAGAATGACATTAGAGAGACTTAAGTAGGATTCTAAGTGAAATAACTTGACTATACCTAAGGTTCAATTCCTTTCCACCTGCAGGAAAATTTTTTCCAAGAAGAAAATTATCAAATATCCTATAAGCGTTTTACTTAAGAAACCTAGTAAGTCACAAAATCAGAGTTAAAAATGGAATTTGTGATAAGGCAAAAGCAGGAGAGACTACCTGGACTTTTTTTTTTTTTTTTTTTTTTAAAGAAAATCTAAGCATATAGTAAGACGGAAGCTCAACCAACAGGCAGTTGTATTCCAACCAAATACCTTTTAAGGAGCAGGAGTCAAAAGAACAGGATAACATTAAGCTGTACTCTTATGAGTTAGGTCACAAATATTATTTGTTTACAAATTATTTTATTAAAACATTTTTTTGAGTTTTGACTAAACCAGAGACTAAGAGCTCTAGGCCTTTCAAAGGTGATGAACAGTGAAATAATCGACACTGATAAAATCAACATGATCTAGTACAACTTCATTTCTTCCTTTACAGAAAGAGATATTTCAAAATATTACAAAATGCAAGTACTTTGTCCTCTAGCTATATGACTGGCAAATATTCATTCATAAATGAACTACTTTGCTCTCCATGGGTACTTAAACATTGAAAATAGAGAAATAGAGGAAAATAATAAATCCATACACATAAGTATGTTAGGATGTCTCAACAGACTGTCCCACCTTTAGGATGTCTCAATAGACTATCCCACCTTTAAGGTGACAGCACTCTACCTGCTTAAACAATCCCAAACAGAAAGATGAAAATCATTCTTTCATCTATCAAAGTAGACAAAAGGTGCTTTCACTAACATGCCCTTTATATTGCCAGTCTGATTTCAGAAAGTATTTCTCACCTTTTGGCATCCGGGTGAGTGGTGGATCACAACACTCCATGTGAAAACCCCGGTCACAAGAATCACAAAAGAGCATGTTATCCTAAAAAATAGATAGGACAGTTTTGCTTAACCTTATGAAACAAAAACATGTGAGGATCATAACTTCATAAAACCTAGAAAGCTTCAATGATCTCATAAAGGAGATGAACTACTGTAATAGTAAAAGTTTCCTTAATTTGTATCAACTGAGTAAATGGACAGTCTGAGTTACCACAAGTTTTGCTTCAACCAACCTTTAATAAAGAACTACAGTTTCATAACTTTCAAGTTTATCCAGTAACCAGATATAACCTAACTTTAGTTTTCTAATGGAAAAGAGAAAAGGATGATTTGTAGTTAGTATACTAACTGACCATTCGTAAGTGAGTGAGTCTACACTACTCAAACAAATCACAGGAGTATTTCTTTAGGGGCGCCTGGGTGGCTAAGTCATTAAGTGTCTGGCTTCAGCTCAGGTCATAATCCCAGGGTTCTGGGATTGAGTCTGGCATGGAATCAGGCTCCCTGCTCAGAAGCCTGCTTCTCTCTCTCCCACTCCCCCTGCTTGTGTTCCTCTCTCACTGTCTGTCAAATAAATAAATAATTTTTTTTTAAAGGAGTATTTCTGCAAACATACAATTAAGGTGCAATTAATCACCTAGAAAGAATCCAAGTCTCAAAGAGTACGTATTCTAAACTAGTGATGTGTAAGTTAATGAGACTCCTGTTTCAAATTCTGCAGGACCAGGTGACCGAAAAATAGCCAACAATACCTAGAGGAAAATACCAGTTGTACATTCTACTTCTAAGAGAAACATTCACGTTGTAAGGCAAAGATACTCACTGCATTTTTGCCTTGATCTCGACAGGAGCTGCACGTTTTACACTCAATGCACTGCCACCGTAAGGCCTTCACTCTAACCGTTAGTTCAGGGGAAAACTTTAAACAGGATGGATGACCTAGTAAGAGGGGAAAATTCTCAAATGAAATAACCAATGACCATTTTGTTTTAAAGAAATGATGTACAGAAAGGCAATTACCTTAAATCAAAATATTATCCAAAAAAAGATGCTCTTGGAAGCTTGTCAGACATGTCTCATCAAGACCTGGCACTCCTATTCAGTTTTATTGATGCTAAACAGTACTCAGTAAACCACCGCCACCCCAATGTGATTATAGAAAACCTGACAAACTCCTAGCATTTATTAAGCCTGCATTAAAGTATTATTTGAGTACTCATGCTTATATGTATACCAATATGTAACAGCATGCCTAGGCCATTTCTGAAAGGAAACAAAAAACTGTTTACAACTGTAATATCCTAGGATATGAAGTTATAAACATTTTGAAGGAGATTTTGCCTCTCACTTCTATCCTTTCTGTGCTCTCAATTTTTAAAATAACATATTACATTTATAATCAAAATATATTTTTGCTAAATCTGATCATTTAAAGTGAGTTTACTTTAGCTAAAAACTAAAACCTAAGCAATATTTCTATTGTGATCAGAATTAACAGTAACAAGAAAAAAAAAGTTTCCTCTTCCAAGAGTTAGTATCCATTTAATTATCAGAATTTTAAGAAGGAAAATCTGCCCTCACTCTGAAAAGATTTGTCCCTTTCCTCTAAAAGTTGGTTGCATTTATTTTTCTTTGGTGAGAGAAAGGGCTAGTTAAATTATTTTCTCTTCCTTCTTTTCTATTCCTAAGTAAGTTTCTCTTCTATGAGATGCTATGAAGTTTATTATCAAAACATCACTGACATTAAAGGAAAATGAGAAAGTATAAAAATCTCATTCATAATCTCTTCTTCCTAGATTAGCCATTTCCTGTTCTACTTTTCCTTTATAGACTTGCTAAAATCCCTTGCGCAGTTTTAATTATAAGATATGCACAGTTTTATTTTGCTTTTCTTCATCCCTTTAGTCAAGAAAACATTGTATTTATATTCCTTAAATTGAGTAATTCCATTGAGTTGATACCCTATAACCTACCTGGCCATTTCCCTATTGTTAACTATTTAAACTATTACTCGTAATAGAACACTACAATGAATTTCCTTCTTTTAGATTAATTCCTTAAAATTCCGGAAAGTGGGGTTGGTAAGTGAAATGAAAGAAACATTTCTGTGGCTTGAGAAGCAGATATGCACTGCCAAACCACGTTTCCAAATCCTCTGATATCTAGTGCTACCAGCAAAGTACAAATGTTTTATCACAATTTCATCAGCTCTAGATCTGGGTTCTCTTACTGTTCAAATTTTATTATTATTAAAGCTATAAAATGATACTCCAATGCTGTGCTGGTGTGCATGCTTATTATTACTTGGGTAAAATGTTTTCTTAGTATGTTCAACAATTAACTCTCTCTCATATAAAACTACTTGTTCGTAGGCTCTGCCCTTTGGACTTTGTGCTAGAAATGTAAACATGCTCTTCACACTTTATAGCATTTGCCCCTTTACCATATTTAATGCAATTATTTTCCCCAAACAAATTTAAAAAATTTTTTTTTAATTTGAGGTATTTTAGTTCTCAGTCTGGAAAGTTACCAACTGTTATATATTTGACTCTATCCATAGTCTTCTTCCGTGGCTATTGTAATAGCCAGGTCCCGCTGCCCTCCAAACATTCTTGCCTTCTGAAAAAATACCAATTGACACCTTGTACAGTTCCCTCCCACACTAAATAGGGCCGATCTGTGTGCTGAAATGACAGTCTAAGGCTAGGTAATAAAAGATATTATAGGTACCACCTTGCTCTCTCTCTCTCTCAGATTCCTGCTTAGGGGAACCCAGCTGTCATGCCATGGGCACACATGCAGCCCTATGAAGAAGTCTGCCTGGCAAAGAACTAAGGCTCCCTGTCAACAGGCAGCATGAAGTTGCCAGCCAGGTAAGTCAGTCATCATGGAATGGAAGCCTTCAGATAACTGAGGGCCAGTTAAAATCTTGACTGCAACCTCATAAAAGATCCTAAGTCAAAACCACTCAGGTAAGCCACTCCTAAATTCATGATCAACAGGAACATGAATTTTAAAATGTTGCTTTTTTAGCTGCTACATTTTGGAGTTATTTCTAAAGCAATAGATAACCAATGGTTATTCATCCTATAGCTCTTTAAAAGTTTCCTCTATTGTTTTCAAATTGCAAAGAACTCAGAGACCACCTCAAATATAACATGATTTACAAGGCAGGGCTATCACCCAACTCTCCCTCCCCCTCACCCCATTTTATTCCCACCTCACCTGAGCAGACCTATTTTTATCTGTTTTATATACTTGGGGTCCCACATTTTTTAAGGGTTCTTCTACGGAAACAGTTTGGAAATTACTGCAATGTAGGATATGTCACCATATTTTTGTCCAATATTTTATGATTTTATGGTTTATATTTAACTGTAAAGTCCACCCAGAGTTCATTTTGGTTTGTGATATTATGCTGGATATGGTCACCTACCACTCAAGATCTCTTGCTGCTGCCTTCGAAAACCTTCTGTAAATAAAAACCAAAAACCTGAAAGCTATATACTTCCTAGATTCCTTTGCAGCTAGCTATGCTCTAGATATGAATTAAATTCTATCAACTAGATGTATTGAGTGATTATTTTGAAAAGGAGAAGTGAAACAAAGACCACTTTTCTCTTGGTACTGTTTTCTAATGATAGTCATGAAAATGCCAATACCCATCCACTCTTCACCTTTATGGCTATCCAGAGGTAATTGTGATATTGGCCAAATTCAGCCTTTCAATATCCAAATTCAGCTAAAGTCCTCCAGCAGCCTCCTGCTTCCACCTCTTCCAAATGGAGGCAGATGTAAGTGACTCTCCTGGTGGATCAGTTCTGTGATATTCCAGAATCAGTCCTTAAAGCCCAGCTTAGAGCTTACTTCTTCAACCCTTCTAATAATTTCACAAACATCTGGTCCTGGTATTAAATTTCCTTCCTCTTGAAATATCTAGAGTGGTTTCTGGTTTCTCAACTAAATCGTGACTGTTACAGTATAAAACACTGAAAATTAAGCCAATGATCAAAGATAATGTATAATGTTGGTTTACTCATATGGCCTTCCTACAAAAACTTGTAAGTTCTGAAATTGTAGACCAAGAATATCTCTGGAATTAACAAACCAGGAAAGTCTTTGCAAAACTGTTTTTGTAGCAACATGGACGGGACTGGAAGAGATTATGCTGAGTGAAATAAGTCAAGCAGAGAGAGTCAATTATCATATGGTTTCACTTATTTGTGGAGCATAACAAATTACATGGAGGACATGGGGAGATGGAGAGGAGAAGGGAGTCGAGGGAAATTGGAAGGGGAGGTGAACCATGAGAGACTATGGACTCTGAAAAACAATCTGAGGGTTTTTAAGGGGTGGGGGGTGGGAGGTTGGGGGAACCAGGTGGTGGGTATTAGAGAGGGCACGGATTGCATGGAGCACTGGGTGTGGTGCAAAAACAATGAACACTGTTACGCTGAAAAGAAATAAAAAATTTAAAAAATAATAACAATAAAAAATTTTAAAAAAATAGACAAATGGATAAAGGAAAAAACAAAAACAAAAAACTGTTTTTAGAGTCCAGGATTTCACAGAGCTCACTAAATTGCAGTGTCAACATTCCATTTCCCAGTGTGAATATGTAAGTTTCTATCAAGAAAAACAAATCTCTTATCATCCTGGCTCTATTCATAAAGCCTGATGCATAAATCAAGAAAGATAAGTAGTGATTATTAAAGAAACCAGCAATAATTTCAAACTGATTGCTGTGATTTGAACAGATGTTTGACAGTCAAATATAAAGATCAACAGGAAAAAATAATCTATGGAAAGAGTTTTATAAAAAACAAACAAACAAAAAGACTAAGACCTGATTTAAATTAACTGAATAAAACATTTCAACTATACATTTAAATCCCTCCCTTGTCTAGAAGCTCATCTCAGTTACCTTAAACCAGAATCAAATTAAAGTATTCGTTTTATAAGGCTCAAGGATACCATCTCAGTTAAATACACCTCCCTCTTGACAGACCACAGATGTCAAAAGGAATCCAAGGGATTACATACCACTGTTGCCACAGTCGGCACAGGAGATGAGTTCCTCCGGCTTCTTTTCTCGGTTTTGTTCTTTTGTACCAAGACAGAAACTACAGATGGGGATTGGTTCAGCAACAGGCTATAAAGAAAAAAACAATTCACTCAGGTACGAGTACTTTCTTTTAGTATTAATACAAAGACATTAAAATTTTTTAATTTTAAATTCTTATGAGAGTTTATACATAACCTTAAGACAACTGTTACCATGCTCCTAAATCTCCAACTAAGTAAGGGAGTTTTTTGTTTTGTTTTGTTTTTTGTTTTTCTTTAGTAAGCAAGTTTCTACAAAGCCTGCTTTGGCTGGACCTTTACAACCAGTCCTTGTAGTGACAATTTTGGTCCAAAAAAATTATTATCTCAACTATACTGGTCACTTAGAAACTAAATGACACAGTATGGATTAAACAAAGCAAATCCTTCACCTAAGATTAAAAATTTCAACTGAATTAAGCATAAGAAATCACAGCCTCAGTCCTTAAAACGTGATGTCACGTAGGAGAAGTGACGAATGTGCATAAATAAGCACCACATAAGGTGATGGACGTTAAGTGCTAGAGAGGCAAACAGGAAATGCTCTGTACAAAAATGAGAAAGAAATGTCAGTTGTGGTTTGGAGAAGGGTTTAAAGAAGAAGATAACATGTATTAAGCACTGGTACTATGCTATGGGATCTTAAGAAGTTTGTCCAAGCACAACTGATAGTAACTGTTAAAACTGGGTTGAAACCTAGGTTTCTATGTTCCTCTATAGCACAGAGGATGAAGAGAAAGGCAGTACAAGTAGAATAAACAAGAAGAACTTAGGTGTGCAGTCTGCTAAAGCCAGTGCTTACAGGATCCAGTTTCTGTGATAACTATGGGGGCACGGATACATCAGATTGTGAAGATTGCCCCTGAATGTCTTACAAAGAAGCTGGACTTTATCCCACGGAAGAGAACAATAGAAGACTATTGAATCAAAAGATGATCACCTGTATTTGAAAAAAAACTCAGTAGCAATATCAAATAAAAATGGGGGGAAACCTAAAGACACGTAGAACATTTAAACAATGACTACAAAAGTCTGGTGAAGACAAGATATTAACCTGAACCGAAGATTAAGGAAGAAAAAACAAACCAGGAACAGAAAAAAATAGCTATGGACTTAGAAACCGACTACCTATGAAAGTTGACAGAAAAGAAAGTGAGTTAACTATATATGACTAACTTAATGAAAAGATGGTGTAAACCATTAAGTCATCTGCAAGAAGAAAAGCAGGAGAAAAATAAAGAAATACTAAGTTTGATGTTAGGTGTGTTTAGTTGGAGGCACTCTCAGTCAAATCTTAACCATTTATGTGGGACAGAGATATAAAGTCCTCAAGATTTTTTTAGTCCACTGGAGAACACAGATAAAATGTCCATCACTACCGTGACAGAAGGGTTACAACAAGAAACAACAGAGGAAGGGAATCAAGCTGGAGAAAAGTGTGTCAGGAGAAGGTTTCCCAGACTTAAGTTCTTCTGGAGGTATTTTGACAGGGAGACCGACTGATGGGGTGTTCAAACAAAATACAGAATTCTGGCTTGGGAGGAGTGGAATGAGCTTAGTTTGGGACTTACTGAGCTTAAAATACCTATGGAGCATCCATGTAGCAATGTCCATCAACTTTACAATACAGGGATCTGAAGTTCAAGAGAAAGGTTAGTCTAGAAATGAAAATCTAGAAATCATATACCTACAAAATGGCATTAAGACCTTCAAAGTTGATGAGTTCTCCCATGGAGAACAGGTAGAAAGTATTCTGACCTAAGGTCAGAATACAAATATTGAAGTGGCTGTTAGAGGAAACTGCCTGGGAAGGAAAATGGATTACTGAGAGAGTTGGATGATACATCAATAATGTCCAACACAAGCAAATCAACAGTATTCCTCAGCCAAGAGATGAAATGAGAGATGAACAGCTGCAAGTTGTCTTAATAATTGTGATTCTGGTAAAGATTGCCACATCCTTTCCCAACTAGAATTTAAATAAAAATTGGGGGGCAAAAAAGAAATATGAAAAAGAACAGGGGAGTAAAGTCAGGAAAGACTTCATTGAGGAGTAGAAACTGCAAGTAAGCAAGCTCTCTCGGTGAACAGGCAAGCCACTAAATGGAAACTATTAACAGCATATTTAACTAACAAATGGCTTATATCCAGAATATACACTGAACTCTTACATATCAGTATGGAGAAGACAGACAATTCAATAGAAACGTAGGCAAAAAAATTCAAAAGGCACTTCAAAACAGCAAATACGTGAATAATATATAAATGGCCAATGAACATAAGAAAAGATGCTCAACCTCATTAGCCATCAAGGAAGCAGATCTCCAAGAACGGCTAGAATTCAAAGCCTGGCAATAGTAATGTTAAGAAAGTAGAACAACAGAACTCTTACACTGCTGACAAGAATATAAATTGACAAAACTAATCTGAAAACTATTTGACAGTATCTACTAAAATTAAACACAGGCATATCATATGAGCCAGCACTTCCACTCCTTGCTATATATCCATCAAATGAAGTACACACACATATGTACAATAAAACATACACAAACATGATCAGAACAGCATTATTCATAAAATTTACTCAAACAAAAATTACCCAAATAACCAGCAATGGGTGCACAGATAAACTGTGTTATATCCAAACATATATATAAACATATATATAAACAAATTACAGTCAACAACTTGTATTACTATCACAAAAATACTGAATGAGAGAACAGACATGGAAGAATACTTAGTATATCATTTTACTTATATAAAGTTTAAAAACAGTTCTACATTACTGCAAGTTGAGACAGCAGTTATCTTTAGAGAGAAAAGAAGAGGTAGTGAATTGGAAAGGGACTTCTGAAGTGCTGGTAATGTTCTTTTTCTTGACCTGCATGGTGTTTTCATGGAAGTTAATAATATTTAAGGTACATATTTATAATCTGTGCACTTTTCTGTATGCTTATTTTAATTAGAGTTGTCAAACGTAAACTAATGAACATCTATAAAGGAGGACAATGTTACCTCTGGAATATTCTGAAAGAAATACCAACAGTGACTTGGACATTGCAGTTTGGAACTTAGAAGAAAGAACAGGCTAGAGAGATTTAAAAGACAGCAACGTGCTGACAGCACCCAGTGAGAAGCAGGAGTGAAGTTGTAGTAACGGACTGAGAACAAGGGGAGGAGAGTGAAGAAGTGAGATAAAAATCTAAGACAGAAGAATATCAACATTTAGAAGCATGGGGGGTAGGGAGGAAGGGGCAAGAAAGAACTAGTGAAGACAAGATATTAACCTGAACCGAAGGTTCTGAGGGAAAACAGAACCAAGAGGAAGTGATGACTGACACAAGAATTACGAGACACAGAGAGCAACCAACAATCAATGTTGGGAAAATAAAGTATCTACTGGATTGTACAACTAAGCAACAGTTGGAAATGTCACTAACAGTGTGCCTTTTTCAGTGACAGGATAAGAACTAAACTCACAGGAACCAACAAACTGCCATGAAAGGAAAGAGAGCAGACAGAAGATAGCTTTAAAAAATGGCAATGGGTTTTGATGTGTTCTAGGTATTTAAGATGAGAAAGACTAAACCTATTTAAATGTGGAAGAGAAGACAGACATGGTCAAAGAGATTCAAGAAAAAAGAAATAACAGGAACATATTATTTAACAAGGTTTAAAGCTACACTGCTCAATATGGTGACCACTAAAACACGTGGCTATTTAAACTTGAAATAAAACAGATGTAACTCCTCCGTCACACTAGCTACCTTTCAAGTACTCAACATTCACATGTGGCTAGTGATTATGGTACTGGACAGCACAAATATAGAACAATTCCATCATTATAGAAAGTTCTACTGGGTAACACTGGTTTTGGAAAAAAGGATGCATTTTAAAGCAAAGATAAAGGGACTTTATAGTACAGGATGGTGTAGATGCCTATTTTTTGTAGGAGAGATGGTGGGAAAAGGGAAATGTTGAGGGTGCTTATTTCTGACAGCCTCATTATTTCTGGAAAACAGGAAATAAAATTCACCTGCCAAAAGTGGGGCAGGAATTGGATATATATAGCACAAAAAAGTGCTGACTGAGAAAACTGACAGGTGAGATAGACTGGGTCCAAGAACAAAGATAACAAAAACACCCTCCTATCAAAATGGAAGGTGGACACACATTTTTCAGATAAGAAAGAATCAGAAAAAATATGTATTAACAGAGAATAAATTCAAAACAGGAGAGAGAAAAGTCAATGGAGTCCCTGCAAAAAGGCCTCCATCTCTTCACTAAAACAGAAGACAATATTACTTGCTTAAACTGAAGTAAATAGGTATGGGTTTGGGTAGTTACAGAGAGCAAAAAAAAAAATGTGGAAGTCTCTGTGTGGAAGATGAAAGAGAATCAATTAGTGATGGAAATAAAACTGTCAAACAGCCTTAACCATACAGCTAACATTGGATAGTTCTATTTGTAGTTTTTCTAACCAAAATGGTTATACAAGTTTCCTTACCATCTCTGAAGCCTTGGACTGACAAAATCAGAGAGCTGTACATTGAGGAGACAAACCAAAGAGTGAAGTCCACTAGAATGCAAATGCAAACAGTCGACCTTTGAACAACATCGGTTTAAACTACCCAGGTCCACTTACAGATTTTTTACAGTATACTACTGCAAGTGTATTTTATCTTCCCTATGATTTTCTTAGTAAGATTTCTGTTTCTCTAGCATACTTAATTTTAAGAATAGAGTATATTAATACATATAACATACAAAATATGTATTAATTATGTTTATGTTATTGGTAAGGCTTCAGATCAACAGTAGGCTATTTAGTTAAGTTTTGGGGAGCCTACTACAGAGGTCAGAGTACTGCATTGTTCCAGAAGGATCAACTAAAATGGTGGGCCACAAAGTTGAGGCTGGACATCATAAGTAGAAGGGGTCTTACAAAAAGTATCTGAAGTCAAGGTACCAAGGGAATCCTGATAAACTAAAAATAAAGGTCCAGTAGGAAGTAAAAGGACTGAAGACTGGAGTCCACAGTGA